GTCACATATTGGCATAGTAATTAAAGAAGGTGCAAACAAGGAGGAAAAAGGTGCATTAAGAATAAACCTATATATACAGTATATCAAGATAAATAAAGATTAAGTTGCAAGTGTACATGTATCACACACAATGAAGAACAAAATAAAAATAAGAAATAAAGGGAGTAGCACAGAGATTTGAGGTGTCATATGTACAATCCGGATGGCTTATATACAGGTGGATTTACATGTATTAATGTAAATTTTGCTGGAGGGGAAAAATTGTGAGAAAGATTAAGTGATAATTGCAGTTTTAGAGATGACTGTGGAGCAACTTCCTGTCCAGAATCTGGTGGATATTCATAGTGTGGATTGGATGCAGACAAGGATTACAACTGCTGCTTATCCAGAGACAATGTCAGAAGTGTCTCAGTTGGGCCGAGGGGAAGGACTGGAGTTTTGCTCAGGGATCCAAAGTTATCTTCCAAGAAGAAACTATGATAGGAAATCCAGGTCCCAGACTCTGGGGGAGGAGTGGACAATCAAAGTGACTTAAGTGGCTCTCCGGCAAAGATGAGAGAGACCAAAACCATCTACACTATTAAAGCAGCTTATATTACACCTCAGAAGAGCCACAGACTGAGCACTGTCATGCCAAGCCTATGCAGTAATACATGCAAAGGGAGTTCAAACTCATTACTCAGTGCATATACATAAAAAAAAGAAGATGATATTCTCTAAGGGGGAAAAAAAGGACCAAAATAAAACATTTAGACCTCCAGAAAGGTGGAGAAAATGTTGACTGGCTGCAAAGTTCTGATGATTTGGAAGCCAGCAAATAAAAAAGCTGGAAGAATTCATGACTTCTGCAGAGAATGTGGATCCTGCCACCTGCAAACAATACAATAGGAGTTAGGGGAGGGTGTTTTAGCTACTCTCAATGACGTAATGGGGCAAGATTTATTCTAGCGGACACACAGTCTGTAGGTCAGGAAGTTTAGACTGAGTTAGTACCGTTGCTTTGCCAAACATTTCTACATTCAGCTGTCCATTTGTCTGTTTCTCAGTCCATAACTCTATCTGTCCACTACAGGCAATTAAAACACAAGGCCTTAAATCTAAATTCCTGAATGTTCACATCAGTGTGAATACTGACACCCAATTTCAACTTCTTTTTTCTCCAAGCTCAAAATATCTTACAAGCAGCAGAATTGTGCTCCAGAAAACTGTATACATGAAACAAGGACTGTTTTAGTTTTTGTAAAATTTCGATTAGATTTTATCAAACAAAATGCAGCTTTTTATTTGTATATGTCCTGGTCTTTCATGCTCTCTGAGCATCAAATTCTCATTGTAATCCAGCAAAGCATTTCTCACCACACCCTGAGAGAGCAGTGGATTATGACTATAACCTAAACAGGTAAAACCTGCAAAAGACATTTTCTCTTCTTATCTTCATCTTAGAGTTTTCTGAAACATCCCTGATATGTTGAAATGAATGTCGGTGGAATCTATGTAAGAATAATCTCAGGCAAAAGGAATTTGTTCTCGTTAAGACAAGACAGGATCCGTGGACCAAGCTGAAAGTAACTGCTGAAGGGAACCAAGTAAAGAGAGAGACGATGCACTAGAGGAGGAGAAAAACACCCGTTTTGTCGAGACCTTTCAATTTTTCAGTTCACAGTTTCATAAACTGGAAATTGTTTGATTGCCAAACAGGAAGTCCTCTCCTTGGTGAAGCAGACCCCTCAGGCTGAATTCCTCTCTGCTGATCTTTGTGGATGTCAAGCATGAAGCTACATGTTTCTGGCCTCCACATTCCTTCCTTATCATCTGCTGAAATGTGTTGGAGGGACTCCAGATATTTTTCCTAACAGGGCTAGAACAGACTGAGAATAGAAACACAGTTAAAGCATGCATGTAGTCAGAATAACCCGAATGCCTCCTGCCATCCATACGAGGTGATCTGCAACACATTTCAAGTTCCTCAAATATTACTTTCAAGGCCAAAGATTGGTGGAAATCTTAATTTGACACCATTTGCCAACAATAAACAGCCATGACATCAAATTGAGATAATTAATATCCAAATCTACTGATAACAACACACCTTACAAATCTGAGCCATTATTAAACATTCAACACATCTCCATAAACCAGCTTTGCCCTACAGGTTCGAAAAATTTACCTCTTTAGGCACAGATCTGGCTTTGCACCAGTTTCCAGCTTTGGATTATGAATAATATTTGCTTTGGATGCCTGCGGTTGTACATTTAGTGCCTGCTTATAGGTGATCTTTAGTTTTATAGGTGTTTTTCTTTCTATAAATTACAGTATCATCTATTTTATTATTAACATTTTGTACCGAGGGATTAATTTTCTTGTGAAGAAACCAGCCACTGCAAAAATGGTCTGAAAATGAGTAAAATAAGTGTATTTATACCTTAATTTGAGTAGGTAAATACAGTAAGATGCCAATACAATAAGTATGCTTATCAGATAATTAGATATTATGCATTTGAAATTAACATTTCCTCTTGGCAAAGTGTTTCGCTTACCTGCTCAATTCAAGAAAAAATGACTTAGATTTTAATAGATTATTTAATAAAACCACCCGTTTGTAGAATACATTAATAGTCTGAAGACTTCTACAGTTTGATGCAAATCTTTTTTTGTAGATGATGATGCAGAAGCTAAGGATATTAGGGCTGCAACTAATGATTATTTTGCAAGTCGATTAATCTGCCGATTATTTTTTTGAATAATAATTGGCTAGCAAAAGGTTCCTTAAAGCATATCCATGAAGATTATCAGTCATCCATGGCCAAGCTTGAAAAAGTTCAGTCTACACAACTGGATGGTTTTCTAGAATCGCATCCAGTCGCCTAAACTGAACTTTGTCAAGCCAGTTCCTTAAAGAAGATGTT